CTCTTTCCCTTTTTCTTAAAAAATTCTTGGGAAACAAACAGTGCTGTGAGGGGAGAAAGTGAAAGAAGAGTTTGAAACTTCAAAAGGAAAAGCGCTCTTTCTGTGAGGAGAGTGAAACGGAGTTGAAGCGCGTGTCGTCACGCCGCAATCGTGAAGAGGAGGAGGAGCGCGTGGGCGGGTCCAATTAATATTTTCGAAAAAAGTAGTGTACCAGGGTTCCGCGGCTTTGCGTTTCTGGGATTTACCCCACCAGAAAATTTGAATATTGGCCACGCGCTTCGCTTCAGCACCTTTAACACGCGCGTGTATGAAATCGGTCAGAGACAGTGAAGGTGGTAAGGTAAATTGTCAAAGAGACTGGGTGATGTTAATGGGCTTCACGTCGTCGACGAGAGCGTGGTCCCACTCTGTTTGTATAAAAGTTGTTACGTTCTTCATTGATACTTCAGGTGGTGTTTGGGCTTTTCATCTTTTATTGGGCTTTTACTGAAATATTTGCTGCTATGCTTCTTTCGGAAGAGTTAGGAGAGGATACAATTGTTTGGTAAAGGTAATATATTTCGAATGATGATTTTAATGCTTCAACTTCTTACTATTTAAACCAAGCATCCTAACCTTGCAGTTCTAAGGTCTCTTCTGATATACAATGCATCGATAAGATATTTTTAGATTCCATTTTCGTCTAAATTAAAATTAATGTTTGATAAATAAAAGTTACTTTCTTAAATGCAAATTAATCTTTAATTATATCAGATTTAGGATATTACATATAGATCATGTCCATATAAAAAAAAAAACTTATAATTATTTGTTTAAAAATAGTTATGAAGGAATAACTTCATCCTTGAAATTGTACTTTATTGTTAAATAAGTTTTCAAGATCTTTTAAGGTTTATTTAAGTTTTAAAAACTTTTATTTTTGTTCCTAAACATTTTATATGGGCTCAAGGTGATGTGTGATAAGGGTCTTTTACAAAAGGTGTTAATAGAATCTAAATCTTTTTTGGTGGTAAAATTTTTAAATGGTAAGTGTTATAGATATTACCCTTACTATGCCTTGGTTAATAAGGTGGTAAGCTTGGTAGAATAAGACAAAATGTGACTTGTAATCATATTTTTGATAAGCAAATATAGTTGTTGATTCTTTGGTCAAACATAGGAGAAAAATGAGTGAAAGATTGCATATTTTGTAGAGATTTCTCTTCTTGGTAACATGTTAATTATATTTTTCTTTTATGATTTTTAATTTGGACGTTTAGTCCTATGTGTATCAAAAAAATTATTACCACTAAGGTCAAAAGAGTTTCTACCTCGTAAGAGTCATATAGGCAATTGCATTTTATTTTTATTTTATCTTTTATCAAATATATTGTTGGAAGGGAGTTATTTCTATCATTGCTTAAGTCACATAATATTTAATAACGTGATTTATAGGAATAGAAATTAAAAAAAATGTACAAAGGATATTTGTTTGTGTCTATTTTAACACTTAATTGATGTTTATTTTATTAATAAATTCTATTTATAATTTTTTATCTTCAAATGTCATGCTACTAAACCCGACGGGTTGATCTACACGGGCCAAAATGTTGTTTTAAGCTACTATTATGAAATACCTAGTTATTTTTGTGCATATGATAACTAAAAATGAGATAGGAAAAATGTTAAAACATGAAAAGAGACTCATTTAGTTAGGTAAATATATTTGAACAATGAAGAAAAAAAATCATATCATAAAGAAAAAGAAGGTTTCTTACTTGAGGTTAAAACTATTCAACCTAAAATTGTAGTGGTTCATAAAGTGAAGTGGTATCCTATAGTCGTATGGTATGAGCAGTAGTGGTGAGAGTAACTATCACCATTCCATGAGTGTACGAACGTGATTGTGTCTTCATCTTCTTCGATAAACAAATAGAGATGATGGGTCACGGGGTTAAGCAATCAAAGACGTAACAAAAGCGACAAAACTCTCACAATGGTTAATCTTTACTCTAAGTTTGTAACCACCATAACAAATCCAAAAAAGTGAAAAGACAATTATTATAATAATAATAATAACAATAATAATAATTATATTTATTATTATTATTATTATATACATCACAAATTTACAAATTAATGATAATTCAAATAATTCTACTTACTAGTTTAATGGGTCAGTCCATAAGCTTGTAGGCTACCCTAACTTAGGCCATTTGGCCTGTTGTGTAACATTGTACAACTTTTTTAATTATTGTTATTTTTTATCAATTATATATTGTGGTGAGTTGTGGTTTGTTGTTGAGAGACTCTGAGAATTTTGGAGTTCCCTTAGGAGTTTTTAGGCGTTTGAGTGTTTTTTAGACAAAAGTCCAATTTTACCATGAGAGAAAGGCATATAAGGATTCTCTGAAGAATTAAGCTTCATGAGTTCATTTTTAAGAATCCTAGAGAGAAAACTAGAGAGAGGTGTTATGGAGGCAGTAAGAAATTCTTTATTCTACTGGCCTTCGAGAGCTTACAAGATCCTCTCCTTAAAAGTTATGATTGTTGGTTGGTGATTCAAAGCTCAAAATGCTAAGAGTCGAAGTTGATGCGAAACTAGTTCAGAGTTTGTCTTCTTCTTCCTTCATCCTTGGTTCCTATAAGCCATGACTCAAATTTTGTTGAAGTTGCATGTGCTTGAGTTTTTCTAAATTTTTAGCTATGTTGATGAATTTGGAGTGAAATTCATGTGTTGGTGAGTTTTGGGTGCTTTGAACTATGTTGAGATAATTTTGGTGATTTGAGTTATTTGATGGTTGCATGTTGTTAGTTGGATGAATTTAAGTTGTTTATGATGAGTATATAAGGATTGTTGCAATGCATGTTAAATTTTCTAAGTTTCAGGTAAGTAAAGTTGTGGATCAAATTAGACATCATTAAGTTTTGGTTGACCACTTCATGAGTGGTGGTGCTTAATTTGAGAATCTCAACATGATTGACTTTCTACCTATAGTTATGAGATGTCACCCCATCTCTACCGTTTTATACATAAAATTCCTATAATTTTAGACATTTGAAATTTAGGTTGTTGGTCTCATCATTTATTTAATTATTTTTATACTTTTTATCTTTATTTTTATATGTGTTAAGATTTTTGATATTCACACCTAGTTTTCATCATTCTTTAAACTTAATTTTCACTTTCATTATCATTATTCTTTAGATGCCATACATCTTTGTTCATCTTTTTTTTTTCTTCTATCAAAAATAATATTTTTCTATGTGTTTTCTCTTTAATAAATATACGTGATAGGTGGTGCATATGTGACAAAGGACAATTTTTTTTTTAATATTATAGGGTAAATTATCTTTTTTTCTTTATTTATATTTAAGGTTCAATTTGGTTTTTTAATTTTTTTTAAATGTTCAATGTTATCTTTTCGTCCAAATTAACACTAGCGACAACATTGAACATTATATAAAAATTAAAGGAATAAATTAATTTTTAAAGGAACATATAAAAATGTTCAATGTTCAATGTTATTTTTAAGGTTTAATTTGGTTTTTTAATTTTTTTTAAAAATGTTCAATGTTATCTTTTTAATTTTTTTTTAAAATGAAATCAAATGTAATGAAAACATTGAACATTATGTAAAAATTAAAGGAATAAATTAAATCATTTAAAAACAGTGAGACTAAATTGAACAAAAATTTTATAACAACCTGACAGGTCCTTACACTTTACAAATCAGCAACTAATAGCGAAAACATTAATCTAATCATCTAAGGTTAACATGCAAACAATTTATGGATATACATGCAACAATATATATATATATATATATATATATATATATATATGTGTGTGTGTGTGTGTGTGTGTGTGTGTGTGTGTGTGTGTGTGTGTGTGTGAGT